TAGGAAGGATTTTACAGCAAGGAGAACGAATTACTGGCTTGTCTTTCACTTTCAAGGCACACACATGCACAGACACACGTAAAACGAAGTTCTATTGCTTTTTTTGCTTTGTTTGTGATGAAAGTTTAATGTCTGGATTCTAAACATCTGTCCTGGCTTATCTGTCTTGAACACTACTAGCATGCGATCCTGCGACACAGACGATGACTCATCACCAGATGGAAAATATACTAGAATTCTGAGGACAAGTGACAAGTAAGGGTTTTTTGGGGGGAGGGAGGGAATCACCACCACCACCATCATCAGATTTAGCTGCAGCTCAACATAAAACAGAAGCAAAGAAAATGGACTGCAGGTTATCAAGAGGGGTTTAAGCTTTCTTTTCTCTTTTTCAGGTTACAATCTGAAGTTTAGAAATGTAATGGAAAACAGGCAAGAGGGGAAAGGAAGGACATTGCGGATATTAGCAGAAAAGGATGCTGGAGTTGGTCAGAAGAGGGTTTCCTCGAGTAAAGTGCAAAAGGAATTCTGTCCAACATCCTGTTCTCCACAGCGGCCCACCAGATGCCTCTAGGTAGCCATTGGGATTGACGTCAAGGGAACGCTCTTGTTCCCAGAGTTCTTTAGGTTGCCTATGGCCATGACAACTTGCAGCCAATGAAAACCTACACAAATTCTTGTAGGAGTAAGCCTCCATCTTGGCAATGAAGAAACTGAAATTGCCAAAGATGTTGTATAACTTTTTGCTTTCAGTGATCAATCCGAATGGAGACCGCAGCTAAGAAATCAGCAGGAGACCAAAACTTGGAAGGTCATCAATGAAGGAACTATAAAAGATCGTCAAATGTAAAGATGTGTGACTAGAGACCAAGACCGCCCATAGCTTTGTATTCCCGATCACCATGTATGAGTGTAATGTAAAGATGTGTGACTAGAGACCAAGACTGCCCATAACTTTGTATTCCTGATCACCATGTATGAGTGTGAAAGCTGGATTGTAAAGAAAGCTGACAGAGGGAAAATACTTTAAAATATGGTACTGGAGGAAAGTTTTGTGGACACCGTGGATTGCCAGAAAGACAAACGAGAGGGCCCTAGATTAAATCGAGCGTGAATCCTCTCTCTGGAAACCAAAATGACAAAACGGAAGCTGTTGTATTTTGGGTACATCATGATAAGGCAAGACCCACTGGAAAAGGCAATAATGTTAGGAAATGTTGAAGACAGCAGGAGAAGAGGAAGACCAAATATGAGATGGACTGGCTCCACCACCTTGAGTTTACAAGAGTTTACAAGAGCTGAGGAAGGCTGTTGAGCACAGCATGTTTGGGAGGTGGCGTGTTTATAGGGTCACCGTAGATCAGAGACAATTTGACAGCCTATAACAGCAACAAGCCCCGTGGAATAGTGGGACTTGTCCTTGGAAAAAGAAGAAGAGCAATTGCTGGATCAGGAGCCTACTGAGTCCAACATTATGTTTACACAGTGGCCAAGCAGCTGACTACAATCAGGTTGCCAGGAGGACAAGAGTAAAGTTGCATCCATTTTGTGTTCTCCAGCAACTGTACATTATACAAAGGCAAACCACCATAGATGCCACACATGTATGGCCTTCCTGATTAGTAGCTATTGATGACCTTAACCTCCATGGATCTATCCAATCCATTTTTAAAGATACCCATCTTGACAGTGATCACTGCATCTTGTGGGAGTGAATTCCACAGCCTTGCTATGAGTTGTGGGAATAAGTACCTCCTTTCACCTATCCTGAATAAATTCTCTTGATAGACGGCTTAATATATTTTAGAAGCGTGGTCGTCTCTTCCTTAACCGCTTTCCTCCGAATGAATCTGGTGCTGTGTAAATTGAGCACCCTTTCTGCGGACAGGTCGATCACATGCGGCTGGTTACACGAGCACGGAAATGTTCGCAGGAGTGCTAAATTTAGCCATTTAAAAGCATTACAAAAGAAATCCAAGAGGCTCTTCATTTGGACTAAAATACCTTGTTCAAGGACAAGCATCAAAGCCAAGAGACAATGGAACGGGGTATTTGTTCCTTGATGAGGAAAGGCCACTAAATAGATTAATTGGAAAGCAACTTGGTGAGATTGTGAGACGGGAATGGGCGAATTCAATTCATTGTAAGCCCAAGGGAGAAATTCAACACTGCAGTTGAGATGTATTGAAACCCAGCTATCTTTGGTAAAATCAAATAATTGCATGGAGTTTGTGTGTGTCATGTGTTTAAGGTCAGATTCAGCCAAAAGGTGGTTGTTGTTTTTCAACTGATGTTACAAGACTTCACTTGAACGAACAAATGAATGAACAAACAAAGGAAGGAACAACAGCAACCGTATGCCATCCAATCAATTCTGACTTTTCAGGGTTTTCCAGGTATAGAATACTCAGAAATAGTTTACCCTTCCCTTCTTCTGGGGGGGGGGGTGCCCTGGGACTGTGCAGCTTGCCCAAGGCCACCCAGGCTGGCTCTACTTACAGGAGGCATGGTGGGGAATGGAACTCCCTCTTCCAACTCTGCAGCCAGATGTCTAAATCGAAAGAGAATTGAAATTCACCTCCATTTGGTTCAAAGGAGCTTGATTTGTGCAGTTTTCTGGATTTCTAGCAAACAGAAGAATTAAATAGTCCCTACCTGCCTAAGACTCATGTTTCAAACTGAGTGTGTTATTTAAGCATTTTCATTCACTTAAGGCTTTGTGAAATAAGGGCAAAACCTGTTCTCAGTTTTAACATCACTATCATTTTGAGAAACAGAAAGAGCACACAGATTTCCTGTTATTTTTCCCCCTAATTTCTGATGGAAAACATTTGTCAAGATTTTGTAGTTGCACTATGCCATGTGACAAAGCAGGGGCGAGAGACAAATTCACATAGTTATAGCACAGATGTGAAAAAATCTATGCTTCGCTATGTATTTTGGACAACACCTTCCACAGGTCTTTATCCGTGGTGGCCATGTTGTCTAGAACTGAAGTCTGTAACATCTGGAGGGACAAGATGTCTTCTCCTGAAAAAAGACAAAAGCTGTTCCCACAGCTTTAAATACTCAACTATCCAATAAACAGCAACAGAGCATGGAGTTCCTACTCCAGTCCTCTGAAGATGTTGGCCACAGAGACTGACGAAATGTCAGGAAGAACAACCTTCAGAACACGGCCAAAGAGCCCGAAAAACCCACAACAACCAACTTCTAATTCTCTCTCTCTCTCTCTCTCTCTGCTTGCACAAATGAGGCAGTCTTGCACATGTCCACTCAAAAGTGTGTTCCTCTCAGTTTAGCAGACTTACTCCCAGGTCAGTGGGTGTGGGATCACAACTTAAAACCATTTTACTCATATGGATGCATTGCAATAAAGGAAGAAGCCATTTTACCATACTAGCTAAGCGGCAAACAACATATTACACACACAGTTTTTTGCTCCTGAGACCCCCGTTTTTCTTTCCTGAATGTACTTGAGGGTAGGGGAGGTGGTGCAGGATCAAGGCATGGGAAGGAGGGAATCCTAAGCCCCGATTCAGAATCGAAGTGGGGGCAGCTGCTTTTGCACAGGGAGAGAACTCTCTCTTCCACACCTTTGGAATCATTATTTGCATCTGCTAAAATTCTATAAACACGCAGGGAAGTAAAATTCAGGGGTCACAGAGGGTTGCCTTGCCCAAAGAGCTGTTCCAAACTGCTACACCCTCTTGTCCTGAAAATATGAGATGCCTCCTCCCACAGAGAACCACACTCAACTGGTTGATCATCGCCTGAAAATATGAGATGCCTCCTCCCACAGTGAACCACACTCAACTGGTTGATCATCATCACCTTAGAACTTCAGAGCTGGAAGAGAGGCAATGGATCATCAAACCCAGTCCCTCTCAGGGAGGCCCAGTGGGGAATTGAACTCTCAAACTCTGGTTCCACAGGCAGAGACCTAAATCACTGAGCTAACCTGCAGGTGTTTTTTTTAATTTAACTATGCATCCCCTCCCCCCATTCTTCTTCTTCTTCTTCTTCTTCTTCTTCTTCTTCATCATCATCATCATCATCATCATCATCATCATCATCATCATCATCATCATCATCATCATCATCATCATCATCATCATCATCATGTGCCATCAAGTCAATTCTGACTGATGACAACCCTTTCCAGGGTTTTCCAGGTAGAGAGTAGACAGAAGTGGTTTTCCCTTCCCTTCTTCGGAGAGCACCCTAGGATGGTGCACTTTGCCCAAGGCTACACAGGTTGGCTCTTCTTGCAAGAGGCACGGTGGAGAATCCAAACTCCCAACCTCTGGCTCCACAGCCACCTATCCAGCAGGATGAGAATCTCAAAGTGCAATTTTTTAAAAAAAAAATAAAACCTGCAGAAAAACTACATTAAAAACCCACAGATTGTGTGCATTTCTGCTGGCTGAGAAAAGGCAACTTCTTTTTAGCTATATTTCACTGAGGTTTAGGCTTAGATTCTACCCACATCCCAGCCCCACTATTATGCTTTTCTTAACTTTGGATCTTTCACTGAGGTTTAGGCTTAGATTCTACCCCATCCCAGCCCCGCTATTATGCTTTTATTAACTTTGGATCTTTTTTAAAAAATTTGTTCTGGGGAAGACTTCTATGACACTTCACACTTTCTCTGCAAACGATATTTGCAGAGAAAGTGTGAAGTGTCATAGAAGTCTTTCCCCCAGAACAAAATTTGGACAGCTTCTCCACAAGCAAGTTGACAAAATTTGGACAGCTTCTCCACAAGCAAATTGAAACATTTTTATGAGTCATCTGGCCTTTCTCAGCTGATTACTCCTAAACATGTCGAACCCACTTGTAAGTTCAAACATAAGCTGCAGGAAAAAGTATGACATGTCATCGAAATCTTCCCTCTATGAATGACCCATGAATGCCCAAACATTGTTCCCACACTCAGAATGCCAGTCCCTTGCAGACAATAACTAAATAAGCAAATAAATAAACACCCTGCTGCTTACCTTTTCTTAATTATGCTAGGATTTGCTGTTACCAGCTGAGTTTTGGCCCCGACATCCTTGCTGTATTCGCTGGTGAGAGGAGGCAGGTTGCACCTGAAAGGAACACAACCAATGCAAGACATTTTAACTTCTTTGTCTGTATGCATTTTGTTCACTTTTGCACCATTTTTAAAAGAAAACCAAATCACAGTTCATGGATTCAACGTCCCTGGCCAGCAACAAAGACCCAGGCAGCCAAATAGTTACTAGAAGATGCCAACTTAGGGTATGATCCTATAGAAATAAATTGTCATTTGGTTCACTCATATAGCGGTCCAGTGTGATGTATTTCCCAAGTACCACAACTTGTGGGAAATATTGGAAGGGACAATAATGGTAGGAAAAGTTGAAGGCAGCAGTAAAAGATTGCAAAATATGAGATTGACTGATTCCACAAAGGAAGTCACTGCCTTGAGTTTACAAGAGCTAACCAGCACTGGTAATGACAGGAAATTTTGGAGGTTGCTTATTGATAGGGTCATCTATGAAGCTGGAGATGACTTGACTATACATAGCAACAACACAAAACCTCACAAATAACAACAGGTAGGATTCAATGGACCATAAAGAAAGCTGACCACCAAAGAATTGATGCTTTTGAATTGTGGTGCTGGAGGAGACTCTTGAGGGTCCCCTGGACTGCAAGGAAATCAAGCCTGAGTGCTCACTGGAAGGACAGATCCTGAAGCTGAGGCTCCAATACTTGGGCCATCTCACGAGAAGGGAAAAATCCCAGGAAAAGACCCTAATATTGGGAAAGTGTGAAGGCAAGAGGAGAAGGGGACGACAGAGGATGAGCTGGTTGGACAGTGTCATCGAAGCTACCAACATGAATTTGACCCAACTCCGGGAGGCAGTGGAAGATAGGAGGGCCTGGCGTGCTCTGGTCCATGGGGTCACGAAGAGTCGGACACGACTTAATGACTAAACAACAACAACAACAACAAGGATCCAATGGGCCATTCTCAGACCTTGGGAACAGTGGTTGTTTTGGACTAACAACTCCCAGAATCTCATTGCTGGGATCCAGAAAAAGGCCTCTCCTGATTATTTAAAAAACTGAGCAGGCTCAGAAAGGGAGAGGTGTTCCTTGAGATTAACTCCCAGAATCTCATTACGGGGATCCAGAGAAAGGCCTCTCCTGATGATTTAACATCTCAAGAGGTGTTCCTTGAGATTACTTCAACCCAAGTCATTTAGGGCTTTATGGATTAGAGTTAGCACTCTGAATTGTGCCCAAAAACAGATTGGCAACCAGTGGGGCTGTTGTAACGGGGGGGGGGTTATCCCTGTGACCAGTCCTGGTCAGCAATCTGGCTGTAGCATTTTGGGCCTGCTGAAGTTTCCTGGCATTTTCCAGACACGAGCCAGAAAGGCCAGGAGGGGACAGAACTGTGATAATAAAATGCTTCAAATAAAGTAAACAAATGATCTGCCTTTTCAGGAGGCATGTAACCATGTCAGTATTGATGGACCACGACTGCTAGCAACCCTCGCTGCCATCATTGATTGAGGGGGACTTCAAATCTACCAACCTGACAGTCAACGTATTCTCCATCCCCTTATCTGAATGACGGTCTTTCCTCCCTTTGAAACATTTAATTACTGGTCTTGAAATATAGTTTTTCAAGGAATGCAAGTATTATTTCCTCCCACTTAACGAGGAGTTGTGTTTTGTTTTTCTCCCTAAGAAGCCTCTCAGTGCAACAAAAGCAGAGTGAGAAGAAATTGACTCAGCAAACAGATGGCAGCTCGGCAAGAAACCAGTTGCTCAGCCAAGACCCTTGGCTTCGAGACAAGGAAGCAGGAACAACATGGTGACATGCAGCGCCCATATGTATAGCACTGAACACAAGAAGCCCTTCTGTTGGTCTCTGAAGATGGAGAAATCAGATTTGGAAGCAGGGGAAACAGGACATCCCCATGTCTATCATTTGCATTCACAAGGTGCCAACCAGCAGCCCCTATATATATGTACGTAGACACACAAATAATACACCTTTTCTATCTGTCCAACCCACAAGCTCTGCTCAGGAGAGGCAAAGAAGCAAACAGAGGTGGGCTGCTGTCCTGGAAAGCTCAGGAACAGCAGGGCCTAGTGGTTCCAGTTTCATAGGAATTCGCTGTCGCTTTTTGTTCAGACTTGACTATATGTTGTGTGTCCCAGATTCAGCACCTTGGACACCTGCAAAAAGCAGACTAAAACCTAGCTTTGCCTCCCTTTGAAACCTGAGTGACTGGCCTCCACCCGCTGTCCATTGACTCAGTTCAGAGGACTGATTTCCCAGGATCCCAAGCCACACAAAACGGCACCTACGGATAACCCAGATTCATCATGCTCTATGTGTAAGGAGGGTGATGAAACCAGAAATCAAAGGGAGCAGGACTAGAGCGCTCTGGTCTACCGATGAGGCATAAAGCAGGGAGTCCTGATGCCTGAACAGATCTCGTTGCATTTAGTCTTGACTGTCTCCTGCTCCTTCTAAAGGGATATATAATGAGAAAATAGGAGACAGGACCTTCACTGTTTTTCTCTACACCTATAAATCATTGTGAAAAAGAAAAGAGAAATAGCTACACTTGGTTAATCACAAACAAGAAAAAAAAACCACTAAGATGCCCTGAAAAGCCACATGTCTCAACAAGTCTCCTCTTACCGCATGACAAAGTCGGCTTGGTCTATTTGTCTCCCACAGTGGCTCTTCTTCAGAATCCCACCGTTTCCTACCACAGAGCATTTCCTCAACGGCAGCTGGAATGGGGTTGCCTGGGAACAGAAAAGAAGGATCGCTTTGAACATGAGTCACGAGGGAGCATCACTAGGAGAACGGCTGCCCTTTGGAATTTGGGGTGAAATGCTCAGATAGCGCAACGGAGCAAGCGGATGGGGGTGGGTTGGGGAGAGAGTTGGGCTACTACCTAGGACTAAAAGACTTAAGTCCTTTCTGTTCTCTATAAAGTCAGGTGGTACAATGAAGATGATCGACTAAGACTCTGGAGAATAGGGTTCGAATCCCCGCTCAGCCATGGAAACTCACTGGGGGAGCAGAACTGGTAAAAACCACTCCTTAAATATCTCACTTACCTTGAAAGCCGTTAGGGTCACTATAAGTCAGTTCTAACTTGACACAACAATAAAATCAGTAAGCTCGTTTATATTTTCCTATCTAAAAATCAGGTGGCATGCAGATCACCATCATCGTTTCAATTCAATTTCAATTTATTGTCATTGAACGTATATACACTGTATACACATACAACAAAATTCTCAAAGAACACTCAGAGACCAGACCAAAACACACACACACGCCCTCTTCACAAACCCTAAGTCCCAAAACCCCACCCGAGAGCTCATATTATCCACACAACATACAACACAACAGACCAAGTAATAGTAATACAGTCCAACAACTCACTGCTGATGATTCTTAAGTTCCTTATTAAGTGCAATTACAGCTCTAAGATTATAGCTATAAGCTCTATAGTGACGCTGTGTCTTCGCGCCAACCCTGTTTGGGATCTTTTTTGCTGTCATGCTGAAGCGCACCTTTGGAACTGCAACAGAAGGTGTCTATCTCTGGACTAGATTTTTAGCATGTATACATTACTGAAACAGCGACATCTACTTGGGCATGTCCTGAGAATGGCTGATGGTTGGATTCCAGAAGATCTCCTGTATGGAGAATTAGTGCAGGGAAATCGCCCCAGAGGGAGACCACAGCTGCGATACAAGGATATCTGCAAGCGGGATCTGAAGGCCCTACGAATAGACCTCAACAGATGGGAAACCTTGATGTCTGAGCGTTCAGCCTGGAGGCAGGTGGTGCAGCATGGCCTCTCCCAATTGGAAGAGACACTTGTACAGCAGGCTGAGGCAAAGAGACAGTCCCGAAAGCAGCAGGGAACTAGGCGGGGTACAGATTGTAATTGTCTTCAGTGTGGAAGAGATTGTCACTCTTGAATTGGCCTTCTCAGCCACACTAGATGCTGTTCCAAGCCCTCCATACAGAGCACATTACCATAGTCTCTCGAGACTGAAGGATGCCTAATCTTGCTCTAAGATTAAAACTGTTCAAAAAGCGTGTCATCCAAGTTTTAATTGCTCTGTTTCTTTTGCTGGAAGGCAACATCACCACCACCACCAGAATAATTCATGGTTACTCTTCTACTGCAAATAATATTTTGTCTGTCCATGATTTGAATTCTCTGTTTAATTCCATTCCAGTAAAATTGTGTTGGGAGAAAATAATAGCTCACCTGGAAACTCACCCACCCCAATGATATTCCTTAAGAGCATTTATGTTTGAACACATTATCTCAATAAGACTTACCATGACCCACTGTCACTGTATTTTGTTCGATATAGGAGACACTACATTGACCAATGAAGTCTAAAATTCAAATTCCCTATAAGGATGCGGCTAGTGAATCTCTCTCTCTCTCTCTCTCTCTCTCTCTCTCTCTCTCTCCTCTCTCCCTGTGTGTGTGTGTGTGCGTGTGTACGTGCGCATGTGTGTGTGTAGAGGAGTGTCAACAAATTTGATGTGGATTTCAGTCCGAACTTGAAAGGACCTACCTAAGGAGCTGAACCTCTCTCTTTCTCTCTCTCTCTCTCTCTCTCTCTCTGTGTGTGTGTATAGAGGAGTGTCAACAAATTTGATGTGAGTTTCAGTCCGAACCTGAAAGGACCTACCTAAGGAGCTGAACTTATTTGGGAGATGGGGATGGGTTCTGAAAAGTTCACACTAAAACCCAGAGTGGATTCCCTGCCCCTGTAAATTCAGAGCTTCCCCTGACAACTTTATTGAAGGGGGGAAGGTTACAAAAATGTTATTATTTCCATACTGCAAGTGGGGAGTGTGGCGTTGAGAAGAAAGGCTTCATCGAAATTCACCTCATTCATATGTAGCTATGATGGGAATGGAAGTTCCCTTAATTTGCACTCAAGCTTAACAGTGACACACCATTTAACAGCCTGTAGCAAACCTGCATTTTCACTTAACAAATGTTTCCTTTGGAACTAGACAATATTGTATGGAAAATGGGAAAAAATGTTTATGCTTTTACAACGAAGTCTGTTTAACATCCGAGATGCTTCCTTGCCTTGGATGGTTTAAAATTCTATCTGGCATCAGAGAATATAAATATGCTCTGAGTTATTTAGCAAGCAGCTTCCTTTACAAAATGTTACGACAGTGACTAAGATGCTAACCTATTCTTTCTCGGCTGGTAAATGATCATCAGAACACATCTACATCTATGCAATAATCAGGATAGTGAGTAATAATAACCATGTGTTGTTAAGTCAATTTAACTTATGGTGACCCTTTTTTTCTGGGTTTTCCAGACAGAGAATATTTCTGAAGTTTAATGCGTTCCAAATCAGCTGAAAACTCACTGTTTAGCGAAGTCTTCCCATAGCCGGCAGCCATTTTCGCTCCCTCGGTAAGCGAGGGGAGGGTGCGAAAACGTTGCGCGCAGTCATTTTGGCTGTTCCGGCGGCCATTTTTGACCCGCCAAACAGCTGATCCGCGGGTCGCAAAGCGAAGGTCGGTAAGCGAAATGCTTACCGACCTTCGTTATGCGAGTTTCGCCCATTGGAGCCATCGGTAAGCGATCGCATTAGCGATCGCGGAAACCGCATCGCTATGCGCTTTCGTCGTTATACGGTGCGCTCGTTAAGCGAGGCAACACTGTAGTACTAACAATCTAGTCAAAGCAATAATGCATAACCATCTATCTAAAAAATCACAGGCAGGTAGCAAGTTGATTGCGGGAAGGCCTGTCTGAAGAAAGAGGTATTTTCCTGCTTGTAGAAGGACAGCAAAGATGGGGCCAGTCTGGCCTTTAGTGGAAGGGAGTTCCAGAGTCTGGAGAGCAGCAACAGAGAAGGCTCTCTCCTGTGTACCCACCAGACGTGCCAATGAAGGTGGTGGGAGAGAAAGGCCTCTTCTATTATCTTAACAGCCGAGCTGGCTCATAATGGAAGATTAAAGGAATTAAGAGGGCAAATAAAATTTTTACCTGCATACTACGTATCAAGGCAATATCTGGCTTCGACCCCATCTGTAAGATCTCAGGTCCATCTGTCCTAGCATTATCCCTTCTGACTGGCACAGTTCTTACTTCTGCATGCAAAGACATGACTCCTCCTACAACTTGGAAAACTTGTTTTGGACTATAATTCCCATAACTTTAGCCTTGCTGCTCGGGGATTATGGAACTGTAATCTAAAAGCCAAAATTTTCCTAACCCTCTTTGAAGCTGCAAGGTGGATTGAACCAGGGAATGTCAGCATACGCAGCTTATGCCCAATCCATCACTCAGCCTTGGTCGCTACATGGTGACATAACAGTCACCCATTAAACTGCCTTCCCTTGGGAGCTATCGGGTACAACTCAGAGGGCTGGACCACCTAGCTGCAAAGTCAGGGGCTAGAAGTTTGAATCCCCACTGTGCCCCATGTTGGGGATACCTGGTGGGCACACCTGTCCTGCTCTACCTACCTTGCCATCAGTACCACCATGGGCAAGCTGTATGGTTCCAGAGTGCCACTAGAAGAAGGCAACGGGAAACTATTTCCAAATACCTTATACTAAACACCCACTGGGAAGGAGCACTATAACTACCCCATTGGGCAAAATCCCATCAAAAATGTGATAGAAGATAGCTTCATTTTAAACTTTACTTCCCCCCATCACTATCGGCGCACGGGAGAACAGCAATATATTGCACTGACAGCACGAGTCAGCATTCCGTAAACCAACTAAAAAAATAGGGGTCCCCCAAACAAAAAGTTATAATTATGAAGCTGGACCTCAGATCAGCACAAAATATGGATGCATGTATCAGAAAGTCTGCTTTTGCTGTGTGTCAAATTTGGAGATGTTTGGACAGAGTGTTTTTGAGTTATGATTTTTTAAAAAGGTGATACTGTTTTACCCCCCCATGCAGCATGATCTTTAGCTCCCGCCAATTTAAAACAGATCAAATACATTAATAAAAACAAACCTGCATACCTTAAAATCTTGCTCACTACCATTCACACTTGTTGAAACACAGCCCTGACAATTGCTTTCTCTTTGGGTGAGAAGTGGTGAGAAAAGGAGTCAGCTTCTGGGATTTTCCCTTGTTGTGGTGTAATGCTGTAAACAGTAGTGAGTATACCATCTTGACTGCTGTCACTGGTGTCAACATTCAGCCTGCCCTCTGCTATGGAAACTTGGCACCCTTTTTCCTGCTGGCAATGGACATATATTGGACAATGGACAATATTGTGCAGCAATACTGGGCTACTTCCTGGTTTTTTTGAATCGTGAGTACGAAAACAAAATAGCCCACATTCATAAATCAGAGGGTGTGGTTTTTTTTAAAAGAAATGAATTATTAAATAATTCTAGATGAGTCAACTAACTAATCGAGAAGCCACTGTTTTTTGTTGTGTTTGCTTGCCTTGGAGACAGC